TGCTCCTCCAGTATTTCTCCTCCTCGGTATTTGTAGATAATCCTCATCAGACATCACACCAGTGAGTTTAATATTTAGCTTACAAACGGGGCTTCACAGGGAGAAAACCCCCATTTTTTTAAACCCCAGTGCTACTCCGGGGTTAGCTTGTTTGCGTGGCTCATACAGGGAATAAGCTGCTCTGTGTTGGGAGTGATATCCTGACGTTTTCCTTTCTATCTTCCTTTCTATCACTCCTTTGTCACAGATCAAAATTCCCAGGCCTCCAGTACTCCTGGGCCTTTTAACGGAAAGCAAGAAGCTGCTAATCCGTCAACACTGAGGACACACAACAGCCAACTGCCTTCCATTATTTCCCCCCTGACTTCTGACACATCCCGAGCTAATTCCAGAGCGCCCCGCTACGAAATGTGTTGTCTCTGATTTGGAGGGTTTAGCTTGACGTGCCAGTGTGAGGTAGGATCAAACGTTTGTACGTTTGAAAAATGGAACAGGTAACAAGTGCTCTTTAAAATAACATCACACTCACAGGCCCTAAATGAAAAAGCCCCAGACCATTACCAGTTGTAATCATTTATCCGATTCATTCCTGCTACATTCTGCTGCCATGTTGGAGACACAGGGACACACAGAGACACACAAGGACCAACAACCACACACACTCACACTAAGGGCAGTTTGGAGTCCAACAACCTAACATGCAGGTTTTTGGAGGGTGGGAGGAAGCCGGAGAACCCGGAGAGAACCCACAGACACAGGAGAACATGCAGACTCCACCCAGAAAGGTCCTGGTTCCCCCGGGACTCCAACCCAGAACCCTCTGGTTCCCCCGGGACTCCAGCCCAGAACCCTCTTAGTCTGTGTTTAGGGTAGTCGTGTGCCTGTGAGCTCACAGGCCTCGTATGTAGAGATCTGTGCATGTGGAAGCCCAGAAGGACTCATCTGCTGCCCCCCCCCTCCTGTCCCACAGGCAGGCAGAGATGGAGTGGCCTCCTCCCCTGGTTCTGATGGCCGCCTGGGCCTGGACGTGGAGGGGGGGGGGCGCACTGCGCTGGACAACAAGACCTCCCTGCTCAACACGCCGTCCCCCCGCTCCTTCTCGGGGCCCCGGGGCCGGGAGTTTGCCCCCTACGGCTACGGGGAGAGCATCTGTGCCTACGACAAGAGCGCCCTGAAGGAGGCCGTGTTCGACGACGACGTGGAGCAGTTCCGGGACTGTGAGTGGGGTTTGGTCCGAGTGGAGCAGCTGGTGGGGGCGGGGTTAAGTCTGAGGGCTGCCTCAGGACGCCTGGGTGCATGCTGGCCATCAGCTCCCATCATGTGGACCACCAACACTAGGCCTGTCCCGATCCGGTATCTGGATCCAATATTTGTCAAAAAATGTCTATCAGCCGGCAGGAGAAAACCCAGATCCAGACTCCAGATCCAGTTTTTAAAATAATCCATTCCACTTGGCTGTGTAGTTCCCTGATGTCCGGTCATTTTCCAGCTCAGCCTTTAGCATTAGCATTAGCATCTCCTGCCCCACAGCTCTGAGTCCTAACCATTAAGACGGCCATGTTAATGTGAAGCTGTCAGTAAAATGTCAGCTGTGTGGGATTATCTGATCCTTAAAGAGGAAAAAGACCAAGAGCTGCATGTAAAACATGCCACAATAAAGTTAAGCGTGGTGGTAAAGCTGGAAGAAACTTTAATACAACCAATCTAATCAAGCATTTAGAGAAATACCACCATAAACAACATGAAGAGTTTCTAAAGAAAACCGTTAGTTATCTATAATTTGGTGTTTGTCCCTGAATAAACAGCTCAGTGTCTCTTTACCAACCAGTGTGTGTTATTCAGACTCCCCTAACTCAGCTGCTAGTTGTTATCAGAGTAAATCCCTGTTCAACAGGAGTCTGACAATAAGGAAGTAGATGAATAACTTTAGACTTTAGGACATGCTCTGATAGGCCGGGATTGGTATAAAAAAGATGGATCAGGATGTCTCTAATCTGAACTACTGTGCAGTTTTGTCCGTAAATACTCTTTGTTAACTTTGTCCTCAAGTAGCTGGTTGGAAAAGTGAAAAAAGAGTCAGAACTACAGCCATACAACAGCAGACCAGACAGGACTGGGAGAGACAAGAACCGGCAGGCTGAGGAATTCCTGGAGCAGGAAAACACGCCTCTGAGTGTGAGCTCCAGCACATTAGCGCCATTAGCTGCTGCCTGTTGTTCCACATGAGCAGAACTAAGAGACGCCACGCGCAGCCCTGTGGGACAGACGGGAGCGGGGCTCCTCACCTCACCGAGGACACTCAACAGGAGGCGACTCGCCCCCCCATTAGGGGCTGTGCTGACAGAGGCTCAGCCCGGACTCACCGGTGTCAAACAGCCACAGGGCGCAGCGGCTGGGGGTGTAGGCCGAGTCCAGCATGCCCCCGAACACGTACAGCAGGCCCTGGAGGGTCAGGCAGGGGGGGGGGGGGTCAGAGCCGGAGCCCCAGACCTGGACGCGGGGGGGTCGTACCTCATGGGCCACCATAGAGTGCTCCTCCAGCTCCTCTGGGGCCGCCTCCCCCCGGCAGCTCAGCTCCGTCCACTCCCCCCTCACTGAAACACACAGCACGGTCATGTGACCCCCCAGCAAGCCGGCCCCAGACCCCCAGCCCTGGAAAGGGTCTGTGGCCTGACTGGGGGTCTGGTTTGGGGTCCTGAGGAGCCCCAAGTCCTGCTGACTGAGCCGGGGACTGGGGGGTGTGTGTCGTGTCCCCTGGTGGTCCAGCGGGGGCCCAGGTGGGGGTGTGTGTTAGCCCAGGTGGGGGGGTTAAGGGGCTGGGGTCTGACCTGCTGCTTACCCACACTGTACTTCCAGAAGTCCCTGAGGCTGCGGGTGTCTCTGCCCCCCAGGACGTAGAGCTCGGCCCCCCAGCTGCAGCAGGCGTGCTTGTAGCGGTCCCTGGGGGA